CCATGACCCGGACCATGAGAACCGGATCCCGAGCCGCCATTCGGGCCATGGTTATTCTGGAAAATATGGGAATTCTTGAACTCCTTCATGATAAAACAATCCTTCCACGAATGTTTAGATGGCCTCTCCTATGTTCCATGCCTCGGACGCGGATGATTCATTATTGTCTCGAGGTCGAGTTCTCCCCCTCCAGACTGAGCCGGCCTCCCCTTGCGACGTTGGTTATTATTCCGCGCACCCGTGTTGGCCACGAAGTCTAAATTTCCATTAGCTCTTCGCTTACCGTTACCACCCTGACTAGATGGGTTATATTGTTGTCCCTTCATGCCGCTACTCTTCTTTCCCTTGCCCGTCTTTCCGTCATCATACTCAGGGTCCTTGGTACTATCAGAGTCAGCATATTTTACAAGGGCTGCCATGAGCTCCCCCATGTCACCGCAATGGCGCTTAAGTCACCCAAGCTTCTGTTTAAGAGGGAGGAAACGTCAATTTTTCTCCAACATTAAAACTGCTGAGCTGACATTGATATTATCTGACGAGTGTATGATAGTTGAGACCCGGCGCACCAAGTTGGTTGTTGACTCGCCTTCACCTTGGACACAAGACACCAAATCCACGATCGACATAGGCTGCTTGCACGTATCCTTAAATTTTTTAATAAACGGGCCTTCAGCTCCGCCCACGACCTTATGGATTTGGCGGGCAGTCCCGTCAACCAAGTACGAGTCGGCCCTTCTAACATCATGGTGAAATACTTAGCACACACAGCCTCACTAACATCCGGCATCTCCATGGCCATCTCATAACTTTCAACCCAAGCTTCAGTAGGTTGATTTGCTGTGTAATTAGGCACCTTGTGAGGACCCTTGAAGTCCTTGGGCAAACGCTCGTTCCGCAGAGCTGACACTAAACAAGGCATACCCAAGGTCTTAGAGGTCACGTCTGTTTCCACTGAGGTTGTTAGGTAAACCGGAGACTACCGGTGAGCCGCTTGCTGAGCCGCCAGCTCGGCCTCCCGACGCGCCCTGCCCTGATCTACCAGAGCCTGGGCATTGGCATCATCGCGCACTGGGTCATGTCCACGGGGCTGGTTACGACGATGTTCAGTACTTGAAACCGCTGGTGAGTCAATGTGCCTGTTGTAACTCCGGCTTGAATGAGGGGTTGAGTGAATCCGCTCACGACTATAAGAATAAGACGCTTGCTGCTCCAATGTTGTCCGAAGAAGTTCTCTGGCCCTTCGTGTTTCAACCGTCGTTGGAGACTCGCCTTCAACCGGCAGAGCCGCCAATCGTGTTGGTGTAGCAATCATATTGTCCAAAGGGTTGGAATAATGATCTGGCAGTGTCAAAACATGTTGAGGCGGGGTATTGTTCACACGTGGAGAGCCCATCACTCGTGGCTGAATCGGCGCTCCACCCCCAGGTGCTTCAGCCATCCGGTTTACCACCGGCGGGTCACCGGTCCCTGCTCCAGGCGTGTTAAAGAGGTTTCTTGGCTCACTAACCGGGGTTAGATGACTCCGGTGTCTCCTTCTCATGACCTCATTTGAAGCATTCTAATCCAACGTGAGCCGGAAGGAGTCGGCTTGGATTCGCTGCGCCTGTGCGTCCAAAACGGCCCGTTCTGCAGCCATCCTGGTGTTCTCAGCCGCCAAGTCTTCCTTAGCTTGACCGATCTCATCTCGCAACTTAGCCACTTACACCTTATGCTCATCTTGGTTGTTCGGGGTTACCTCCGCCCCCATCAAAGTCGCCAGTGCCTCCAACAACTCGATGAGAACTTGAGCCGACGGGCGCGCAGAGCCACCAGCACCAGCTGTCGCCGCAGCCATTGAGCTAGAGGTCATGGTCGCGGCGGTTGATGAACCGATCACCGGTTGTGTACCATCCATGAAAACCACAACTCTGTTCGGCGGCTCGCTGGGGTCTGGAATACTGTCACCATGAGAATAGCCCCCAAGCCGGCCGTCTTGAAGTTGATACAATGAGTTGGTCTCGCGTGTGGACGACCCACCATCAGAATAGATGGCCGTCTCATCGCCATATATAGATCCATCCTTAATTTCCGCCCCATGGATAAAACCAACAAAGGCACGCTTCATGGAGGGTTGAACTCGTGCAGGTCGTGCACGCTGAGCCATCTCGATGATGTCGGTGCAGATGGCTGGCCCAGGGCCCGGTTCGCCGACCTTGCCAATGAAGACGTGGATTCCGCCAAAGGGGACCCGGTACCCGTACTCGATTGAGCCGACCTTGGGACCCCAGCCTGCATTGTCAATGTAGAGCTTGCTGCGACTACTCTTGGTCATCCGGCCCACAGCGTATCCCTTGATCCCTTCGAAGCTGCCCTTCAAGAACTCGAAACCACCATGCGCTGGCCCCACGGTGGGCGCCAACTGTCGTGGAATTGTCACGGCAGATGTCCTAGCGAAAGGACTTAGTCGTGGAGCCATCGCAGCTAGGTTAGCTTAAAGGGGTTAGACAGGACAAAGGACACAGGAGTTTATACTGGTTCGGCCCCTTGCTATGAAGGTAAAAAGCCTACTCCAGTTGAGATGGTATTAATTGGGTTCCGATTACCAGGGAGCGAATATGCTTAACCTAGCTTTCGATCTCTCTTATTTCTTGTCCTGAACCGCCGCCGGGTCATCCCTTATATACACAGGTTGACGCTCAGGGGCTTACAGAGTCCTGGACGGCTCATACACAACGTGTCTGGCTCAGTGACTAATTACACATGCCTTATACTACAAGTCATACATATATGGCGGTTTACACCTCCGGGCCTTGAGCCACCTTCGGGTTTTGGGCCTCTAATAAGCCTGCTTCGTGAACTGCCCTCTTAACGGGCTTTGTCATAATAAGCCACCAGCGGTATAACCCGGCCCCTCCTGGGCGGGTCATACCTAGTAGTTATATCCCCAACAAAGCTTCTTATGATGTTGTATTACCGAGAGGGCCCAGAGATATCTCTCCACGCAACCCAACAGACGCCTTCGGAGATACCTGTAGAACACCTTTATGATCACCCAGTTACGAAGTGACGTTTGATAGCACACAAGGCATTCCTCCGGTATCCGGGAGTGGAATGATCTCACGGTCTAAGGAACTGATACTTGACATGAAGAAAGTTGTAGCAAATAACCAAACGATCTGATGCTAAGCTTATGGTTGGGTCTGTCCACCACATCATTCTCCTAATGATGTGATCCCGTTATGAAATGACAGCTCGTGTCCATGGTTAAGAAACCTTAACCATCTTCTATCAACGAGTTAGTCTAGTAGAGGCTTACCAGGGACATGGTTTAGTTTATGTATTCACGCATGTATTTAAGTTTTCGGTCAATACAATTCTAGCATGGATAATAAACATTTATCATGAACGGGAAATATGATAATAACCAATTTATTACTGCCTCTAGGGCATATTTCCAACACCTTTTGGTCGCGGCGTATCGTTGGTGGGCAAGCTCGGATGTTGGCTCAAAGCTCTTTGGGGTCTGGCATGGGGTGATCTGTGATGCATCCTATCTTTTACACGTGACGTCATTGTCACCACTATCAATCCTTGTTATCCACAGGCAGGATCAACACTTCACAGCCAGGAGCAAGAGGGTAGGCGGCCCTTGGTGTATGCCTTGCTACAATGTCCGGCGTTTTTATTTTGAAGGCGTGGTTTCTCTCCTAGTCAGTAGTCTAGGGTGCTTCTTGGTTGGGTGGCTACTCGTTTACTTATTTTTTTCATCTTTGATCTATCTTCTCCCTCACGGCTTTGTATGGTTCCCTTGTATTGCTTTATATATAAAGCAAGATGAATGTCCTTGTTCAAGAGACAAAGCAATTTGTACTCTTTCCCAAAAAATATATACAATAAATTTTGGCCAGAATAATAACAACCTTATTGTCTATAACAACGCTCTCCAAGTGGAAATTCAGGCAATCAAAATAGGAATGTCACTAGCCATTGAGTGGTCTAGTCTTTCTATCATTGTGCAATCAGATTCGCTAGGAGCATTGTCTTTGACGAACGGGAGTTTAAACATTGTAAGATTGATAGATCACATAATAGAGTAGCCCATAGTCTTTCAAACTATGCTCGGACTACCTGAAGCACATCCTGTTGGTTGCATATTGCTTTAGATTTTCTTTGAAGTCTTGTAGTGGCTGATTGTAACTCTATGTGGTTGTTTGGATACGGTTCAGTTTCTAGAAAAACGGGTTTTAGGAGAAATTATAGGAAAACGAGTTTTAGTTAGTTATTCTGTGAAAACAAGTTTTTGGAATTCTTTGCTTGGATTAAGAAGCTGTTTTTACAAAACCATGTTTGGGCTAGATTAGACACATTGATCTGAATGAACTGGATAAGTACGCTATCCAAACAACCCCTTATCCAAACAATGTTAGTCTTAAACGTGTTTTAGGATTATAAACGACTTTAGAGGAAACCAAACAACCGATTTAGGTCAGGAAACCAAACTGGATAAGGGGTTTCCTCTAAACACGTGTTTTAGGATCCAAACAACCCCAACTGGTTTGGAATAAAAACTCCCTTCTCGCCACAAAAAAAAAACTACCTGATTCCCCGCATGTTTTTTTTAACAACCTTATTTTGCCATGGCCCTTTTTTCTACGAGTCGTCGAGTGAAAAAAAAAACCAAGCGGGTCAAAGTCATACGCTCCTCGTGAAGGTTCAAGGCAGCAGCACTCTTGGCGACGGCCTCTCCGAGTTTGGTCGTGATCGTCCGCAGCCTCCTCGAATCGAAGCAAAACAACAAGATAAGCACCAGCTTTCCGAAGCCGAC